AGGTGCGATAGGGGGACAAGGCAAGGTGGAGGCGTAGGATTTTTCCTCTTGGATAGTCTAAGGGCAGCGGTTCTGAGTAGCTCGGAGGGGTCCGTGGCTGGAAGACCGGAATACATAATCGCTGAGATAGATCCTTCAGATTCAGCTAAGCTCCTGATAGCAGTTGTATATAGACCGCCTAAAGCTGGACATATAGCAGAGTTCTTTCAAAGATTCTCTGATTACCAAACAAATTACAGACATTCGATAATTTTTGGGGATTTCAACGCCGACTTGAACCAAAACACCTTTGACAGTCAACAGATTCAAAACAGTGTTAACACCCTGGGAATGTATCTGGTACCGTACAAATCCACGCATCACTTAAGACATTCAAGTACACTACTGGACTTAAGCATAATAGACGATCGAGATAAACTGATGGATTATGGCCAGCAAGACGTGGCGTTCCTGTCTGCACACGATCTAATACATATAAAGTATAGGATCAAAATACAGAGAACATGCGGTAGGCGCATCATGTACAGAGACTGGAGCAGATTAGATAAGGACGCATTAATAAGTGACATCTGTGGAATTGACTGGACAGCCCTTTTGGCCTCTAATAATATGGACGAAAAAGTTGAAGAGTTCAACACCAAACTAACTGAAATTCTCAATAAGCAGATACCACTAAGAACAAGATGTTTCAAGAACCTGCCAGCTCCATGGCTGACGGAGGAAATCAAACAGGAAATGCGCAGCAGGGACCAAGCTAGGAGAACCTGGAGGAGGTATAGATGTGATCGCTTGTATAAAAGATACAAAACATTGAGAAACAACGTGCAGACAATAGTGCGAGCAGCGAAGAAGGAGCACTACACGAAAATGTTCAGTCGAGCAGGCAAGGCGGAGGAGATCTGGAGAGGACTCAGACATCTGGGACTCATAAAGGCCAGAGCAGTAGGAGGGCGTTTAAGGCATACAGTCGAGGAGCTCAGTGATTTCTTTGCGCAGAGTGATGAACAGTGGGAGCGGAGTGATGAAAACGTCCTTGTGGAGGTGTGCTCTGGAGTCTTCAATGAAGATAATTTTCATTGGAAATATGTAGGGCCTGAATCAATTACTAAAGCTATTGCCAAAATGAAGTCAAATGCAGTTGGTGCTGATGGCATACCACTGTCACTACTGAAGTGCTCAATAACATATCTTACGCCAATCATTGAACATTTATTCAATTACTCATTAATGAATGGAGTTTTTCCCTCGAACTGGAAGATAGCAGTGGTATGTCCAATCCCAAAAATAAAAAGTCCGGTGACAGTTAAGGACTACAGACCTATCTCTATACTGCCGGTCCTGGCGAAGGCCCTCGAAAGAGTAGCAAGCGAGCAAATAAGAGGATATATGGAGGAATCTAATCTCTTTGACCCC